CAATTTCCAAAGCAGCAGTGAAATGCTGGAGAGAGCAGGTGAGGGTTTTTTTTTTTTTTTTCTTTCTTTTTTTTAAGCACTCTCTGGGTTTTAGATTATTTGAAAACACTGAGGGGGATGATGGGGAAATGACTACATGATTTGCTTACACGTGCATATTTACCAGCCCAGTAGACCCTAGATTTTGTAACTTGATATTATCCATGCATTGATTTGTATCCCATTTTCTTTTGGTTTTCTTGGTGAGAGCTAATAAAAACATGAGAAAATGTGAGCAGATCTAAAAGCCTAGGGCCGTTAATGATGATGGCAGCTAAGGGTATGAAAGCACCCATCCATTTATCATTCCAGGACATACTGAGGAGGTGGCTGTACTTTTGGTGCATTTCTTTCATTGTGTAAATACTGATTTTCTTTAGTATACTCAACATACAATCCCAAACATGAAAAGTTCATAAAAAGATAGTAGGAATGTCAATCTAATACTTTTTCCTTAAAAGGTACTTTTTAATTTTGAATATTTGAATGTACTTTTAAATTAATGAAATTTAATTAATTCATCAAAAGGCCTCTTCATTGCCCACACTGAAACATAAGGGGAATGCAGATGGCATTTTGAATTGGAATATACAACTCACAGATTTTCTTTAAAAAGCAATTTTATGTGTATATATAAAATGTTTCAAATTTTAATAAGATTTGTCTCCATAAGAGGCCAAAAATAATTTTATTAAAAATATACACGAAATACAATAGAAATATTTCCAGCCACCAATAAAATAAGTGTTCATTAAGGGTAGTGATAAAGTTATTGATCCCTATTTAGCTATTTAACTTCACATAAAAAAATTTGTAAAAGTAATTTTCTTAAAACATCAGCAAATAATAAACCTTCCTTTGGAAAACATTTTTCAAACATTTAAAAATATTCTGATGATTTGCCTTTTATATTGAGGTTCATAATGAAACATATACGTATTGCAAAAGTTATTTCTCCAATCTGCATTCACTGTTTTGAATTTTTTAATATGCATAGGCCATATTCTCTTGAATAGTCTCATTTCATGCTCACTGTTGTAGGCACTAAACTGTAATGTTTTACACTTACAATTATTTCATATGTCAAATAGAATATTGAGATGGATGGTCACGTTTATTCACAAATGATTCTATTTCTTTATACAAACTGTTTCTCAAGAATTTCAGTTTTCCTTCAAAAAAAATTTACTCACACAATACCACATAGCTCACACATATAGTGCAGAGCAAGAATGTACATATTCTTAAGCATTCATATATGGGAAGAGAGTGAAATGGGACAAAATATCAGTACCAGTATAACAAAAGTCAGCAATTTAGAAAGGAAGAACATGAAGTAATATTTTTATTCCACTTTTTCTTCTGCCTTTGTTTTTATGAAGAACTCTGGTTGGTAGATACAACGATAGGCCAAGAGCTGAGGAAGAACTCCATATGCTATGTTTAATGTTAAAAAAAGGATTTTTGCTTCTTCAGGGACTCTGTAGACATAAGCAGTTCTAGCATGAAGAGAAGCACCAATGTGAGAAAACTGGGCCTGTTGCATTAAAAAAAAAAAAAAAATCGGGTAAGCATGAAATGTGTTCAGTTGGATGCACGATGAGTTCTGAATGGGTCATTCAGGCTACGTTTCTGTGCCCTCAAAACCAGTCTCACCTGCAGGCAAAATACCTTCAAACAGTACAGAGTCTTTCATGTGAGAGTCTTTCATTAAATTTAGTCCTTGATTAAATTTAGGGCCATTCTTGATATAACTGTTCAAATAAAGTAGACATTATTTAGTGTGGTTTTATCATGCCAGTTGTGTTTTTTAACCAACAAGTACCCCTTACCAAACATTAGTGGCTCAATCTAATAGAAAAATCTGAATAAAATGTCAAATTTTTTTCTTACTTGCATCCTGAGGATCCTACATAGAGACTCAGTTGTGGTTCACAAATCGTGTTCCAATAAAAATGAAAAAAGTGCAGAATTTTTAAAAACTGAAATATTTTTATCATAACAAACTATTGAAAGGGAAGCACTGGGGACCTCAGCTTCATTTACCAGTCTTTCATCTACTCCTTGGAGCAAGAGCTCATAGCCCTTTCACTGTGTATTTTTTGTTTATTCATTTTTTCATGTATTTTTTCTGCAGCTTTTAAAATACTAAGTGTTGTTTGTAAGATAAGGTTGTTATCAACTTGAGTGGAGGTAGGAGTTCGGTTTCTCTTTGTTAAATGGTAAATGTACATGCAGGCAACCTTTTCAAATCAAATTATAATTTATTTAGAAGTATGACTTGCCAGCACTATCTGCATTTGCAAAACGGCCTCCCTCTCTACTTATATACTTGTTCAGAAAACACATTCAGTAAGTGCCAATTGGTCTTTTTTTGTATTTTTCACAAGCTCAGAGGAAAATCGCATTGGAAAGGGTAATACAGACCACAGCAGGATTAAAAACTCCTGTCAGAGAATTTCCCCAGAAGGCTTGTAATCATTATAAAATGCACCTCTGGAGTCTGCGTTTTTATATCTTGCTGAAATTCAAGATATATATGAATGAAGGATTGGGAATCTAAATGTAATAAGTTGTAAATTATCAGTTCATTAGGATGAAAGACAAAAGACTGCACTGTAAAGAAGGCATAGAAGTAACAAAAATGAAGAACTAAATACTTTGCTTTAAATACATATAAGTTAGTTTACATTTCCTTCCATATGAAACCAATTTATTCTGCTGAGTGATTCACAGATAAAGATGTTACCACTTGACTTCACCATGACAAGAAAAGGACAAATTTTTATAAGCAGCATCTTTATGAATTTTTATCAGTGGCAGATATTTTAATGTGCTGCAGTTTTACAAATTCCTGATATATTCTGGAGACCTCTGGTACATTTTTGCTACTCTGGAAATATAAATTAAATTAGCATGATGTATTGCCAAGGACCAACATGTGGATTATATGTACTATGATCCATGATGCACTGAGAGGACTCGGCCCTCAGATACACCTCCCCTGGGTAGATGCCCAGGCAGAACCCAGCAAATATATTTGCATCTCTGGGCTCTGAAGGCAAAAGACGTTGAGAGTAAGGAGCACTTCCAGGGCTGCTGTGAGGAGGTGCTTTCTGGACATGTTTGGAACCCTGAGCAGGAGCATAGCTCCCATACTATTTTTCCTTAGGGCCTATTTTGAATAGTAGTGTTTTTCTGAAAATATAACCAAACATTTTCTTCTGGACTAGAGGCCAAATTTGAACCCTGATTTACAGAAATGTGGGTTTGGTGGTTCTATCTTTATAGATACTTGTACACATCACAAAATCACCAAATTTGGGGAAATGCCACCCATACTTTGAGAGAATAAATACATCATGAACAGTTGTACCTACTTGCATAGGGAAGCCTGCATAAAAAGTCAGTGATTCCATAGACTCTTTACCGGCACTAACCAGTGCAGTTAATACCTCATTTTCGTGAACAGCAAACTCATGGCAAAATTAAAAAATGATTCATGGCTGGGTGCAGTGGCTCACGCCTATAATCCCAGCACTTTGGGAGGCCAAGGTGGGTGGATGACCTGAGGTCAGGAGTTTAAGACCAGCCTGGCCAACATAGTGAAACCCCATCTCTACTAAAAATACAAAAAATTAGCCAGGCGTGGTGGCAGGGACCTGTAATCTCAGCTACTTGGGAGGCTGAGGCAGGAGAATTGCTTGAACCCGGGAGGTGGAGGTTGCAGTGAGCCAAGATCACACCATTGCACTGCAGCCTGGGGGACAGAGCAAGACTCTGTCTAAAAAAAAAAGAAAAAGAAAAAAAAGAAAAAGATTTATGTCCTTAGATTAGATTGTAAGCCCACTGGGCAGGTACCGTGTCTAATGTTTTGTGTGGCTCCTATCACGTTGTTAGAGCTCAATAAACATTCAGCAACAATGGACTTGTGACTGTCAAAATACGAAAAGGATCTACAAAGCATTTCTCTTTTTTATGTATTTTAGTAGGCCTCTTTATTCACAATTATTTAACAAGGCACAAAGATTTTAACATTCTTAATCAAAAGAGGCGTTTGTATGTGAGAGAAAAACTCTGAGGCCAGTTGTGTGCAGCTTCCAGTACTGCTCATAGTTCTAATGGGTGTATTTATGGTGGCCACACCTCCAGCTGAGCAAGCACCTGACCATATCTTTCTCCTAAGGCATAGGACGTTAAGTGTTCAGGGTTCTGAAGTTCAGAAAAACCTCAGTCTCACCTGAGGAGGTTTCCTTCCCTTCCCAAGCACATAGCTAATAAGGGGCTGCAGGCCGTCTCCTGGGTGATGTTCCCAGCAGCATGAGGCCTCTCATGGCAGGACCTGAAGGGCTCAGCCTGAGCCTGTGCTGGGGTCAGGTAGCTCAGTGAACTCAGTGCTGCTGAATTAACAGGAGGCCCAGGATTATAGGTATGAGTTGTTGATCCTAGCTATTTCTCCAGAATTTAGCAGTGTGAGATTGAGTCTCTAATAATTTTCTTCCACTTCATTCTCAATCATTTTCACATTACAGAAATAATTAAGAGAGATACTGTGATTTTTTTTTTTTAAGAATGGATTATTGGAATGGCAAATGAGACATAAGGTGAACAAAGGTTAAATTTTAATAGCTGTTTTCTTACATGTATAGAGACAGTCTATAAAGGATAACTAAAAAAGTCAATTCTGGTTCCAGAAGGAAGAACTAAAAGAGTGTTACATGTCCATGTGAATGTTATAGGCAGAATACTAAGGTGACCACTGGGACGATAGCTAGGCTCTTTGGCTAATATAGTATAAATAGCTAATCCAGAACTGTTACCTTTTCTTAGGGTTTTCTGAGCAACATAGTTTAGTGGGTTCAGAACATTGACTTTGGAACTAGACATCCAGAGTGAAATCACAGCTCCATCACAAACCAGCAGTATAGCCTTGGCTGAGGTATGGAACTCACCTCATAGGTTGTTATGAGGGTTCAATGAGTTCATGTTTGTGACATGCTTAGAGATTGCCAAGCACTTGCACAAATGCAAAACTGAAATACCTATTCATGATCTGGTGCTCCGCTTTGTTGAAAACCTGGGCTCTTTGTTTTTGACTTTTTTACTGTGAGTTTCTCCATGAAAAGATAATAAGCACATAAAGATGTTAAATCCAGTATAATTTAATACTAAAGATGTTTAGCAGTGAATCACACCAGAAACAAATGAATAAAACGAGATTTGCATTAGTATCCCAACTATCCATGTTCTTCCTGAACCTTTACTTTGAAATTTTTCTTAACATCTCCATGAAGGAAAACCATATAAAATTTACTTCCAGGCTAAGCGTGATGGCTCATGCCTGTAATCCCAGCACTTTGGGAGGCCAAGGCAGGAGGGTCACTTGAGTCCAGGAGTTCAAGACCAGCCTGGGCAACATAGCAAGACCCTGTCTGAATTTTTTTAAAAATTATAAAAAAAAGAAATTTACTTCCAGTAGAGTCAACTCCTCACAATCAAATTATTCACACATAAGCATCCATATCTCTCTGTGAGAAAAAGACATGGCATGGCACCTACATAGCCAGGGAGTTAGAGAGCCTGAGGGCAGCACCTGACCGAAGTGGAACAGAACCTGCTTCACTGGCTATGGGATGGCAGGCTCCTTACCAGGCCCATGGTGAGTCTGTCCCAAAGCTTTCTCCCAGTTTCTTTGTTTTCTTGGTAATTATATACAATACATGTAATTTAGTTTGTCTACAGATTAATCTTCTGAAAAACATAAGGCATTTCTCCTCCAAAATCTTACAGGGAGTATTCTACCAGTAATAATGGCAACAAAGAGTTACATAGCTACTATGTGCCAGACACTGTTCTAAGCCCTTTACATATATTACCTCATCCAACCATCACAGCAACTCCATGAGAAAGCTACTGTTACTATCCTCTCTTTCAGAAGAGGAAACTGAGGATCAGAGAAGTAAAGTAGGCCTGGTCATTGTCCTCATCAACACAGACTAGAATCTGAACCAGTCTACCTCCAGAACTTATGCTCCTAACCATATGAACTCTACTAGCTCTGACTTTTTTTTTTCTTTTTCAGTGATATTTTAGCAGAGAAAATGCTTCGATTGATAGGAAATGCTAATAAGTGGATCTAAGCAGCCTATAATGCCTTTCAAATTACACTTGCAGCTTTAATCCTATGGTTAGCATTTTATATGAAAAGATAGCTGGGTTATGAGTAAGTCCCCAGTGGAACTCTTTGGTCTAAAATGTGTCCTGGTTTCATTTTATTCAGTCTTCTTTTACTCTTTCCTTGATCTTTTGATTTCTGAAAGCAGCAGATTTGGCAGACTCCTGCATTGTCTGAAATCAGGGACCCAATAACTACTCACTATTTCTTTTTTCTTTTCTTTTTTTAAGACATCCTCGCTTTGTTACCCAGGCTAGAGTACAATGGTGCGATCTCAGCTCACAATAACCTCCACCTCCTCAGTTGAAGCAATTCTCCTGCCTCAACCTCCCAAGTAGCTGAGATTACAGATGCCTACCACCACACCTGGCTAATTTTTTTGTATTTTAATGGAAACAGAGTTTCACCATGTTGGCCAGGCTGGTCTCAAACTCCTGACCTTAGGTGATCCACCTGCCTTGTCCTCCCAAAGTGCAGGGATTACAGGCATGAGCCACCAAGGCCGGCAACTATTCAGTATTTCTTCCATTGGCCTATACTGATGAAGAACTTTTCAAAAAAAATTTTTTTATTATTAAGTTACATAGACTCTTGAGAGTTCACTAGATGCTTCAGTAAAAGTAAGTTTTAGTAAAGTTAGTGGGATCATGAATGCATAAGGTTTCTAAATAAGAATGGCAATTTTAGCAAGCAAAGATGCTTATGGAAGTTACAGAAAGTGCCTTGTTTCTGGGGTGGGGAGAGAGACAGGGTCTCTCCCAGGCTGGAGAGTGCAGTGACACAATCTTGGCTCACTGCAACCTCTGCCTCCGGAATTCAAGTGATCCTCCCACTTCAGCCTCCCTAGTAGCTAGGACTACAGGCATGTGCCATCATGCAGCCTAATTTTTGTATTTGTAGAGATGGGGTTTTACCATGTCGCCCAGGCTGGTCTCAAATTCCTGACCTCAAACAATCCACCCACTTTGGACTCCTAAAGTACTGGGATTACAGGCATGAGCCACCACACCTGGCAGGAGAGTGCTTTCTGTGATGAATGTGTCAGATACTCCCCTGAGAGGAGACTCCATTTCATAAGCAAGTATTTGCTAAGTACAAAACAAATCACATAGCTAATTCAGTATTCTGATTTTGTGCGTTGTTTAGTTGTGGCATGACTTCTTTTCCTTAGCCTATACTCTATAAGCAGGTAGTTTTTGATTGTTGGTTGGTTTTGCCGGGCACAGTGGCTCAGGCCTGTAATCCTAGCACTTTGGGAGGCCGAGGCGGGCGGATCACGAGGTCAAGAGATTGAGACCATCCTGACCAACATGGTGAAACCCCGTCTCTTAAAATACAGAAGTTAGCTCACGCCTGTAGTCCCAGCTACTCGGGAGGCTGAGGCAGGAGAATTGCTTGAACCCAGGAGGCGAAGATTGCAGTGAGCCGAGATTGCGCCACTGCACTCCAGCCTGGCGACAGAGTGAGACTCTGTCTCAAAAAAAAAAAAAAAAAGGATTACTCCAAGTTTCTGGCTTGAGTTGCTAGATGCAATTGGACTGTTTATACAGATAATGAGAAAATGGAAGAGAATTTGTGGGGACATCAGGTTCTACTTTATACATTAAATCTGAGATACTAGTGAGACATGCAAGTAAAAACACTTGAGTTTGGAATTAAATACAGGAGTCTGGAGCAGTTTGGGCTGAAGGTAGAAAATTGGAAGTCATCAGCTTATAGTTGGTATTGAAAGATACAAAAATAAAGATCTAAAATACGGAAATAAAGCCCAAGGACTGAGGAATCTGGTATTTAGAGGTCTACAAAGGAAAAACAACCAGCAAAGAGCAGTAAATGTTACTTCTCTTCCTCCTTAAGCCCCTCAAGGAAAGGACAGGAACCATTACTTCTGGATGCTACATCAACTTTTTTGATACTAATATTCTAATTTTATAATTCATTACCTCAAACTGAAAGGATTTATGCACTGTCCCCTTAAATACTATGTTTTTTCAACCCTGCGACTCCTAGTATGTCTTGCAATCGTGGTTATTATACCATGCATATAATTGACTGTACAAGCTTACAGTGTCTGGATGAACCTCATTCTTATAAATGCTCGAAAAGAACAAGGTGAAGCTAATGTTTTTAAATGATAAGTTCATTTGTTTTATTTCTAGTAAGAACAAATGATGAAATTACTTAATAATTTTCTTCCTTGTTCAGAAGATTGATTTGTGTTGCTAGTTCTCTTGTTTAAAAATGTGCTTTATGGGCCGGGCGCGGTGGCTCACGCCTGTAATCCCAGCACTTTGGGAGGCCGAGGTGGGTGGATCACGAGGTCAAGAGATCAAGACCATCCTGGTCAACATGGTGAAACCCCGTCTCTACTAAAAATACAAAAAATTAGCTGGACATGGTGGCACGTGCCTGTAATCCCAGCTACTCAGGAGGCTGAGGCAGGAGAATTGCCTGAACCCAGGAGACGGAGGTTGCGGTGAGCCGAGATCGCGCCATTGCACTCCAGCCTGGGTAACAAGAGCAAAACTCCGTCCCAAAAAAAAAAAAAAAAAAAAAAAAAAAGTAAACCAAAAAACAAAAAAAAAAAGAAAAAAACCCCCACAAAAAAAAAAAAAAAAAAAAAATGTGCTTTATGTTATATGTGAAGTTCTCCATAGATAATTTCATTTTCAGTTGAATGCAGTAAGCATTCACTGAGCACCTACTCTAGGCCAAGTATTTGGTTAGGTGCCAGTGGGAAATTAATCAAATGACAGGCCCAGAACATTTTTTAAACCAGTTTTCCTGGTTCTGTATAGCATAGTGTAGTGAAATTCTGAAGTTTTAAATTTGGATGGATATTTTGAAGATGACAGCTCCCAATACTTTTTCAGTAACCATGGTATTCAGAGATTGTGAAACAGTTCTATAAAACAACAGTGTCGCATGCTGGGTGTCTAACTTTGGGCAAATCACTTAACTTCACTGTCCAGCTTCCTCTTCTGTGTAACTGGATGGCACATCTACCATATAGTTACTGTGAGATTTAAATAAAATGTACTTGCAGAAATGTCTTCCAAAGAACTGCAGAACAAAAGGTGACATGTCTAATAGCTACTTCCTACTCTGAAACACTGAGCAGAGAAGTTTTTCACATATTCAGCAATGACAGCTAGACCACAAGTAAATCTTCTCAACAGAATAGTCTTAGTACCTGAGCCAGACCTCCAGCATGTATCAGTGTGATGTCAGGCATCCAGGAACATCCAGGAACTACTAAGCCATACAGTGCAGTCACAAAGTAAGGAACAGAATAGAACATATATGCCAGCATCTGTATTGAACAGAGAAATAACATCATCAGCAAATTAGCAGTCAACTTGGCCTGACTAAAAAATACAAAAAAATAAACTTTTTTTGCATTGATTATTTTATCTTATTATCTTTTTAAATCTGTTTTTTATTGTGCTTTAGGTTCTGGGGTACATGTGCAGATCATGCAGGATTGTTGCATAGGTACATACATGGCAATGTAGTTTGCTGCCTCCATCTCCCCGTCACCTATATCTGGCATTTCTCCCCATGTTATCCCTCCCCAACCTCCCTACCCACCGCTATCCCTCCCCTGTTACCCCCAACAGACCCCAGTGTGTGATGCTCCCCTCCCTGTGTCCAAGTGTTCTCATTGTTCAACACCTGCCTATGAATGAGAACATGTGGTGTTTGATTTTCTGTTCTTGTGTCAGTTTGCTGAGAATGATGGTTTCCAGATTCATCCATGTCCCTACAAAGGACACGAACTCATCGTTTTTTATGGCTGCATGGTATTTCATGGTATAGATGTGCCACATTTTCCTTGTCTAGTCTATCATCGATGGGCATTTGGGTTGTTTCCAGGTCTTTGCTATTGTAAACAGTGCCACAGTGAACATATGTGTGCATGTGTCTTTATAATAGAACGATTTATAATCCTTTGGATATATACCCAGTAATGGGATTGCTGGGTCAAATGGAGTTTCAATTTCTAGGTCTTTGAGGAAGTGCCACACTGTCTTCCACAATGGTTGAACTAATTTGCACTCCCACCAACAGTGGAAAAGCACTCCTATTTCTCCACATCCTCTCCAGCATCTGTTGTCTCCAGATTTTTTAATGATCGCCACTCTAACTGGCGTGAGATGGTATCTCAATGTGGTTTTGATTTGCATTTCTTTGCATTTTTGTCTTTGAAAATATTAATTCCTATTTCCTATATGGGACTCATTTTTTAAAAGAAAATTAATTTTAGAAAAATCTCAGGCTTCATAACTACTTGACCTGAATTTTAGGATATGCAGCAGGATCCTTTAGATAGGGCTCTTGAAATTGCGTATATAATCGGCAGAGCTCAGATGGGCAATCCAAAGCAATCTAAGAACAGAAAAAGACTCATTATAAAAATACAATCACATCTGGTTCTTAGGTTTGCTGATAAGGCTAAATGTGCCAGGTTTAGTCACAAGTTGCTTTGCTGTTTAACAAAAAGTATGCATTGTAGAGGTTCACCAATGAAGGGAATGTTTTGCAGATTTACTCTTAAGGAAGTTAAGCAGAGGTTAATTATGGTGCAGGAAATGGAAAGTAATGCTCTATTCTTGGGTACCTTTCAGAGTTTAAATATCTAGGTTTGGCCAGCCAAAGCACAGCTTGCTTTGAATTATGAGTTTCACTTTTCCTGGAAATAACTAGCCCACTATTCCCTACACAAAGAAAAGTATATTTCTACACCAAATTCATCTTACTATGCATTGCAAGATTTGAAAATAGCACCCCCCTCTCTCCAGTGCCTCATAGAGTATATGACCTTTGGAAGCAGTAAAAACTATTGATTTGAAAGCAAAGTCCTCTTGCACGGAATTCTCTTTAGCACCTTACTAGGTCCCTTCTGAGTCACCTTCCTCCCCTCAGGCACCATTCCTTATGTCTTTAGCCATAAATGTTAGCATATATGAACACAGGACAGTGGCAGAGTTGGTAAAAATGGCCCCAATCCAAAAGCCCATCTGCAAAAGCCCTACCCGCCATGCATGCACACCCACACATGCACACATTTTCTCATGTGCACAGGGAAGGGGATATGGCTGTGCAAGAATACGGGTGGGGCCCACTATTTTTTGTTGTTGAACTTTAAGAATTACAACAAACTAACCAAAGAACAGTTTCAGTGGCCCTATGGTCTCAGCAAAGCTATGGCCTTGCCTTCTGTACTTCTCTTCCCCATGCTCCTCCTCCTGTTAGCTAACTCTCTTCCAGAAAGTTTCTCACATTCCACAGATAAAGATAACTCTTAAAACAGCTTATTGGCCCTGAACCCAGCCAGCTGCACAGGCCCCTGATAGGCCAAGGACCCTGAAATAATAAGTCACCCACATGGGCTTACACTTGCCACTCTACTACCCAACTGTTATGCAACACCAAAAGGCTTAGAATAGTAATTGTCACTGAAGCTGAATATAATTAGCAATATAATAATAAACTTCCCAAATTTATTTCTACTAAGAAGAAATCAAACTGAGATATTGTGAAGGATCACTGATGAATAAAAATAGTTAACAGTAATCATTTACTACGTATAAGACCCTCTACCAAGTGTTTGATGTACATTATTTAATCTCCAAAACAATACTGTAGTAGGTAGTGTTATTTTACAGAGAGGAAGACAGAGTCAAAGAGATTAAGTAGTTTTTCCAAGGCCACACAGCTAGTAAATGGCGAGGATTCTAACTTCAAAGCCTGTGGGTCTTTTTCCTAACCTCTGCAGTAAAATATTAATAAAGAGAAAATAGAAAACATGAAATGCTCACATGCCTTTAATGTATTTCAGTCACATCAATGCAGACTCTAGGCCTGAGCTGAATTTACTCAACACTATTCTTATCACTGAGACATTCCCACAACCCTACATACACGTGAATTGTTGATCTGGTACGCCTTCCTCAGTCCCATCGCCCCTACTCCTGAGAGCCCAGGGATGCTCTGTGCCACAGTTGTATTGCAGTCCTAGGGTGCCATCCTTAGCCAAAGATAATTACATTTAAATCAGAAACATCAAAGGAATTAAAAAAAAAAAAGACTCTGATGGCTGATTTTTCAGATGCCCTAAAACCAGGAGGAAGGTGCTTCTGAGTAGAGCTTGATCTAAGGATGGGAGGAGGTGACAGCAGGAGGCTGGGGCCAGAAACATCAAAGGAATAAAAAAGAAGGGGACTCTGATGGCTGATTTTTTAGATGCCCTAAAACCAGGAGGAAGATGCTTCTGAGTAGAGCTTGATCTAAGGATGGGAGGAGGTGACAGCAGGAGGCTGGGGTCGGGAGCAGCAGGAAGCAAGTCCAGGGCTTCAGGCTTTGATGAAAGGAATGGTTTGTCAGTTTGCTAAGAAGTCTGATAGAAAAACAAAAACATATTTCTAAGTTTTTTCCATTTGGAAATATGAATAGTTTCACAATGTTACGTTATCATGATCTGTTATGCTTACCAAACCTCTGAACAGGCAAAATCCAGTTGCCAGGAGAAGACACACGACCAACACTAAATCAAATGGTCTTCTCAGCAGGTCTTTTGTTTGGGCTTCTTGAATAACCTAAAACAGAGTTGCTACCTAAAGAGCAGGCTCAAAGTGTCAAAGAAGAATCTGAAATCTGAAACATTAAATGTCATGATGATGGATAAGAGAATTTTAAAGGTTCACAATTTATATCATAAATTACTGGCCATGGATTTTGAGGAACATCATTTCCCTCCTCAAGTCTCGCTATCTGTGAAATGAAGAGTTTGGGCCAAATGATCTCTTGAAGGGCCCCTGTAGCTCTATGAGTCCACATTTTTTCTTAAAATGACATTTTAATGATAAGAAATGTTTAAAATAAACCATAAACCTGCTGCACCACTATTAACTGTTGGGTATACTTTTCCAGTAATACATGTAGATACATACACACACACACTCTACATATATACACACATATTTTTCACAAAAGTAGGACTTAGTATATAAACAAATCTGTATTTGTTCTTTTTTGCCCTCCACATCTACCTATATTATAAACACTTTCCTATGATTAAAAATTTTCTAAAACTGAATACCATGTGAAAAAACACACTTTAGCTATTCTCCCACTGTTGGATATTTAGGCATTTTTTCACTGTTAGACTTAATGTAATGATGAACAACTTTGTATGTAAATCTTTGGTGGTATCTGTGTGAGGATTTCCTGAGGATAGGGCTCTAGAAGCAGAATTATTGGGTTCCAGGGTTAAATTTGTTAAGGTCGATGACATGGCCAAATTGCTTTGCAGAGCAATTCTGAATTTATGTTCCTGTCAGTACTGTATGACAATGCCCTGCTTGGCCCTGGCTGTCACTGTGTTTTCACATTAAAAATAATGATAAGCAGTTCTGCATGCCTCATGGCATACCTACTCTGTTGATACACTGACATAGAGCCTTCAGAAGTGGTAGAGCCAGGACTAAGGATGGACTATTTGCTTTTTCTTTTTAACAGCCACCTCTTTCCTCGGCGGAATGTAAGACAGTACCAGCTGTCGGTGTGTCAGCCTGAGTTTACATAGCAGGTGTCTAAATGTTTACAAATGAAGTATTTGTCAATTAAAATGTATTTTAATGAATTCTATTGAAAATCTTTTGTAAAATGAATAGTTGTATTCTGAGTATCTCCAGTAATTCGTATTTTCATGTATCAGTTTTGCTTAAAAGATCTTGCTAAATGGTCTAATACCTAGAAAAGGAAAAGAAACATAGAGAAACTAGCTTAGAAACGAAGACCTAAACAGAGTATCTGCCAGGCCAGTATTGTTTCACCTTGACCACCTTGGCTGTGAATGGAAGGGAGGTGTCTCAGATGTCCTGTAGCCAGTTTCCGTGGGCCTGGATCTCTGGAGTCAAGATTGTACGGCTATGTGGACTACCTTGAGGAGCAGTGTCCCTCCAGTGTCCTCTTGGGGCAGTAAATGAATAGGTGTCACAAAGGAGCCCAGGTGCTCAAAATCCAGGCCATTAGCAACCGTAGACAAACCACACGCTATGGACTTCACTCAACACACTAATGTAGAATGTGATAGTTAGAGCCAGTGTGAGCACTGGCACAGGAAGCTCCCCAAAGTATGGCCTTGCCAACAGAAGCACATGTATTGAGACAGAAACAGATCTTCTTGCCCACATTAAGATGTAAGTTAATGCTACATAATCAAAACAGTCACACTTTGGATGCCCCAAATGCTACAGTCCTCAGAGGCACAGTTCAGTGGCCAGTGGATGTGAATAAACCCTATGAGTTTGAGAACAGGGTACATCAAAAATAAAATCACCTTTGAGGGGTAATTATAATTTTCTGATGGCTGATTATAAATTCTGAAACCAGCCCAGACAGGAAGACAAGTATATGGTATGCTTAAGAAAAAAGCAGGGCAAATTCGTGTTCCATACTTCCCTATTTAAAAGAGAGAAAGAGAAAGAAGTTACCAAAAGCATATCTAACACCAGTAATGTTTAGGATACCTCCCCTTCTCAAGTCATGTAAAATTTTGCTGTGGGCCAGACAATATTTTTAATGAGGCCAAATTAAAAAGGTCAATTTAAAATACTAGATGTATATTAACAGGCATGTCTTATCTACGGTATTTTAAAAGCATATTTAATATAATATTCTGCTTGAGCCCAGGAGGTCAAGGCTGCAGTGAGCTATGGCTGTACCACTGCAACCCAGCCTGGGCAACAGAGTAAGATCCTGTCTCAAAAAATACATCTGTAATCCCAGCATTTTGGGAAGCCAAGGCGAGTGAATCACAAGGTCAGGAGTTTGAGACCAGCCTGGCCAATATGGTGAAACCGCATCTCTATTTTAAAAAATTACAAAAATTTATCCGGGCATGATGGTGGACGCCTGTAGTCCCAGCTTCTCGGGAAGCTGAAGCAGGAGAATTGCTTGAACCCGGGAGGTGGAGGTTGCAGTGGGTCAAGATCATGCCACTGCACTCCAGCCTGGGCAACAGAAAAAAAAAAATACATCTAGATAGGTATCTATATATGTTTGTATATATCTATATCTATATATAATATCCTGATTTCCTGCACACATTAATGTAATATCCAAGTACACTTTTGGAGTTCTCATAATGTGTTAGGAGTTACATACTACCATGCTAAATGTAGCCATAAACACCATATTCACTCCCTCAAGATCCTTCTAAAAAAACAGGAATCCCTGATACTTGACTGCCAAACTGTTCAATGCACACTTCTGAAAATTGCTCAAAAGCACTTCTTAAAAGGTATTTTTTAAAGGTGAGAAAAAGGAATTATTCTGCAAAACAGGTTTTTGGTAAGCTTGGAATCACTTGGTTCTATTATAACCAAGATAGCTTCTGTATTTAAAAAGCCCCATTGTTTTAGAAAAGTGAGTTTTAAGATAAAGTTCTTACCTACAATGTTTCCTGGCACAAAAACAACCACACTCATAATAATAGATCCAACCCAATATAGGCCAATGGTTCTGTAACTTTCCCTGTAAAAAAAAA